TAGGGGGATAGATAGTGAAATGGAAAGAAATTTTAGCTGGGCACTGACGTGGAATTTCATTAAAGCCTTAGGGTTTTTTAAAGAAGTTGCCCTCTTTTCTTTGAGTTTTTCTTCCCCTTTTTCCTCATTTTTTTATGTATAAGCCATACACTATTTATATACGATAAAAAGTAGAAATTCATGATAACTTCTTTACGAGTTATAGGATGCTTGACACACATCTAGGGCGTCTACTTCATGCAAGACAACAAGTGGCGGGAGCGGGACACATATTCAGGTGATCGATTTTATAGTCGGTGAGTCTGTTAATAATGGGTGGTGATATTTTTTTTACCCGATGAAAAGGTGATATCGACACAAAGGAAGCTATATGTAGTGGTTGATGCCGATATGGCAATATCGAATTCACAAGCGTTGTGGTATTAGCATGGAGGACACTTGACCTGGATTGAGATCGACGTGGAGCAAGATTAGCACGAATAGTAGTTTTATGTTGAGATCGAAAGCGATGGGTTCTGGACACATTTTTGCCGATGTTGTTTGGGGTTCGGTGAAGAACGTCGATGTTAATAGAAGTTCAAATTATCTAAGAATTATTATTAAGCGCAGTGGATCTAGAGATTAGGATTGAACACTTATAGTTTGAAAATTCATAGACTCTATACACAGCCTACGAGGCCAGACGAACCCCCGTTATTTTTATAAGAAAAATCCCGAGTTTTCAAACTCAGAGTTAATTTTTCAAAAGTCAATTTTTTCTTTGAAAACAATTTAACGGGCACTACTCAATTTAATCATTCATTCACTTAGATCAACTCATATCTGAGCCATTGGGAACTCATTGCCCAATTTCACAACACTTCTACCACATACGAGATATATTCCATATCAATAAAATCTCGCAACAATCATCTAATCAACAAACATTTTCAAAACTAAGTTCAAACCGATCAACATCCAAACCAATCATAAGTTTTGAAAATAGGTTTAAGCGGAAGCAAAAATCAACACAATCACAATAATAAAATGACCCCACTCATTTCGTCCTTTGCCTCGCCATCAGCTCAACCTGGAAAATATAAGGACGATGGAGGTGAGCAAAGAACAAGCTCACCGTGGGAATTACCATGCACATATATTCAGTATAATGACTTAAAATCATAATCGCAACATGAACACAAATCATTACATCTACCTCCTATATGGCCACACGCTAATGTGTACACATATCTCCTCCGACATAACCCATCGGCAAGAGAGTTAACCCACTGGCATAATCCATCGGTGATTAAAAGCATCATAATAGGACGTCACCGACATAATCCATCGATGCGTGAAACACGCAGACTAGTGGTTCACATGCATACTATAGAGTCCTGTTTTATTTTAATCGAATCATCTTGCATTGCTCGACTTTAAATTGGAATCTCGATTGTGTTTTACCTTATTTGGATTAATTGCCTATTTGATTATTTATTTTCCTAAGTGAATTCACTTAATTATGTGATTATACGTGTAATTATTTAAATGTTATGCCTTAGACTTTATGTATGTGATTATGTGTTATATATTTATTTTTATGCCTTCGAATTATTTCTTGTGTGTATATGTGTTGTGAGCATGTTCGGCCTCAGTTTTTGAAAATCCAAACGCGCCGTTATAGCCCCCATGCACAACACTAGCACCTTGAATTTTCCATGCATTGTTCAAGCCTTACACCCAACAAACCCCTTAGAAAAATAGGAGTGTTCCATCAACCCGAAAATTCCCTTAAACCTCACCTTAGCCGCCACCCAACTCAAGGAGAAGCATGGTTCTGAAAATCGGACCGGACTGGCCAGTTCAACAGGTTGGACCAGGAACCGACCTTCATTCTAGTTCGGTTTGAGCCATCAAACCGCTTAGAAATTGAAACCGTGAAGAACAGTTCGAATCGGTCCAAAACCGGTTGACTCGGTGAACCGACACCGGTTCGAATGGCTCACCAGTTCAAGCTTATGAATTTGAAATTGATAGATTGTGAAGTGGTTTAAATAGCACACATTTTTTACTTGTATTAATTCCTATGTGAGATATGTTTCCTTGCTGAAATTATTGAGTCTATCAAGCAAAATAATACTCATTAAAAAATTGTATTGTTTTTTGAAGTGGATTATCTATTGGGCTATATCTATTCCCATTTTTTTCTTAAAAGAAGCAATTTATTGTTGTTTTTTATGCACAATATCTTATTTTTTATTTTTAATCAATAATAGAAAATTTAAAATGTGATTTAAAATGAAAATTAAGTTGTTTTTATTCTCTCTATTTTGTAACTTATATACAAATTAAAATTTTAAATATAATAATAAAATAAAAAAAAAGTCAACAACATTATTCAACATTGTCGGTTGTATATTATTGAACTCTTATGTAGAGAAATGTCATACACTATAACATTGATGATATATATGTAGGGGACGGATCCAATGAGACCACTCCTTAAAATGAGTACGTGAGACTCAATCTTAGCCACTCATTTTGTCTAGATCAAAATCAATTAAAATATACATCAATTAAATAATAAAATAATTATTAGTTGACTCCGGCGTTGACCGTTGACTCTGACGTTGACCGTTGCCTTCCGGCGAAAATCGTTGCCTTACGGCGTTGACCGTTGACTTCCAGCATTGACCGTTGACTTCCGGCGTTGACCCATTGACAACTAACCTGGCAGCAACAAATAAATAACCTAGCAACAAAAGACAACTAACCTAGCAGTAAGAAAGAAATAACCTAGCAATAAAATATAACTAACCTAGCAGCAAGAAAGAAATAACCTAACAACAAAATACAACTAACCTAGCAGCATTAGACAACTAACCTAGCAACAAAACACAACTAACCTAGCAACAAAAGACAACTAACCTAGCAACAAGAAAGAAATAACCTAGCAACTTAAGACAACTAATCTAGGGATAGGCAGGTGACGCATTCCCCCTACCTACTTGTGAGTGACCTTTGGACGGATGGGTCGTGGGATAGGGGGAAGCTTGATAGGGAGTTGGGCTCTAGTGCGGGTTTTAGCCAGCATTTATTAGATCAGATCCAACATATCCCCATCTTGGGGGACGGTTCGAATGGCATGAGGTGGAGACTTATATCATCAGGTGTGTTTTCTACTACCTCGGCTTGGGAGCAGATCAGACTGAGAAATTGGCCTAAACTTCTCTTCGGGGCCATCTGGAGCGAGACCGAGACCGAGACCTTTACCCACCTTCTTCTAGAGAGTGAGATTGTGAGGAGAGTGTGGGGGCATTTTTCCAATTGGACCCATATATCCCTACCCACCACAGACAATTTATTTGAGCTCCTGAGTTTTTTCTCCCAGAGCACACACCTTAGACACGTGGGCTTCCTCATTCCTTGTCTGATCCTTTGGTTCACCTGGACGGAGAGGAATAGTGCGAAGCATAGGGATATTACTTTTTTGTTTTCTCACATCGTTTTGCAGGTAGAGAGACACATTTCACTCCTCAGAGCATTGGGCAGGCTCACGGCCCGAGACTGGACAGGCTGCACGCCACCACATCGCTACATGGTGGCTCCCCCACCGCTTGTTCGGCCCCCTCGGCCCAGACCTGTTGTTTGGCTTCGACCCGAATCTCCGTGGGTCAAGCTGAATACTGATGGCTCTTTTGATTGCCATACCGGAGCTGCCAGAGGAGGAGGCTTGATCCGGGACCACAGCGGCGCCCTCATCACCGTCTTCCACACGCCCCTTCAGGCCTCCTCGAGCTACGACGCAGAGATTCAGGCATTACAGATTGGCCTTCAGATTGCTGTCCACATTTCTAGTCATATTTGGATCGAGCTGGACGCTGCGACTGTTGCCACCCTCCTGACATCGGGCCACCAGGGCTCGTGGCAGATTCAGCACCCGCTTATGCGCATTGGAGCTCTACTTCGGTCTGTCCATCACAGGATCACACACATTTTTCATGAGAGGAACAAACCTGCTGACTACCTTGCCAGCCTTGGCGCCACCATACCAGACCCACATACATTTCAGACCGACACTGCTCCACTCCGTCTTCGCACGCTTGTACGGATGGACCAACTTGGATATCCATCGTTCCGCTTTCAGTAGATTAGGTTTTTGGCTTTCATTAGATTAGACTTTTTATTCCGGGCACCTGTTAGCCCGAAGACAGATTTGTTATCGGTTTTTCTTTTTTCTTTTTTGTCTTTTTTTGTTTTTGTTTTGCTTGTGAGACTCTGTAGACTGTAGTATGTTGATATTTTGGGCCCCCGTTTTGGGGTCTTGATCTAAAAAAAGAAAAACTAGCAACAAAACTCAACCAACCTAGCAGCTACAAATAACTAACCTAGCAACAACAGACAACTAACCTAGCAACAAAACACAACTAACCTATCAACAACAGACAACTAACCTAGCAACAAAAGACAACTAACCTAGCAGCAAGAAAGTTGATCTATATACAGGTTGGGGATCTAGCCCAATCTCCCACCCCCCCGGGGCGTTGTTTGGCAACAAAAGACAACTAACCTAGCAACATCAGACAACTAACCTAGCAGCAAGAAAGAACTAACCTAGCAACAAAAGACAACTAACCTAGCAACAAAACACAACTAACCTAGCAGATATATATAACTAACCTAGCAACAAAAGACAACTAACCTAGCAGCAAGAAAAAAAAATAACCTAGCAACTTAAGACAATTAACCTAGTAATATAACTCAACTAACCTAGCAACAACAAACAACTAACCTAGCAACAAAACACAACTAACCTAGCAGCTAAAGATAACTAACCTGGACGGAGAGGAAACCTAGCAACATTTCACTTCTCTCTACATTTCTCTCTCTAGAATTTGCTCATTTCATCCCCACCGTCAACCTCCCTTCCGCCACCGCAACCACCATATAGACGGCCCTTCGACCGCCGCCGCCGCCGGCGGCCAGCCCCTGGCTGCCGGGCCTTCGTCCTCCTAGCAGTAATGGCTCCACCGTCAACCTCCCCGCCACCCAATCTAACACCAGCTAACCACATCCAAGAATCGATCAAATGCTCAACGCCGCCGGTCATATACTCGCCGATTGCTCAAAGCACGCCGCCGATTTTTGCGGCTTCACCATCGCCGCCGGTCATAAGCTCGCCGACTGCTCAAAGAACATCGCCGCCTCTTGCGGCTTCAACATCTCCCACCAACATCAAGCTCGCAGTAAAGAATAAAAATGTTTCAAGGCCGCTAGAAGTGGCCGTTCAAACCACTGTCAGCGATTACACAGCCATTATCAACTCCAATCAATCATCTTCCTCGGATAAATTACCCCACGCACCTTCGCCACATTTAGCTCTCTTCCCGGAGCTCGGAGATTACCCAGTGTTGGACGGGCAAGACAGATATCCGCTTCCCTCCGAGAGGTCCCCCACCGGAATCTCTCCGGTCAGTCTTCGGTCAAAGGCGAAGCCCGAAAATCTGGATCTTGATCAAGGACATAGCCGACAGCTGTCAGACATTTCAAAATCAAAACCAAGCGCAAGTGGATTGGGAAAGTCACCTTCAGCTGCGTCATCAGATGGGCCCGGGTCCTATGGACCTTTCTCATTTGGCTCTTTGGGTATTTTTTCTGGGCCCATTTCTCAAACCCCTTATCCCCAGCCCAATAACAATACCCCCACAGCCCACAATCTCAACCAAAATTCCCCCCAGCCCACCCCGTCACCTTCAACAATTTTCCCTCTCCCCCCTGCTGCACACCTCACGACCAATGCTACCGCGACAACGATGACCGGCGACACCCAGCCATGCACCGGCGCCGGCAAAGTCCCCGGAATATCACTGCCTGCCGGCGGCCCTGCCGGAATTGCCCCGGGGTCGAATTTAACGGCCGGTATTCTCGGACCCCGGCCATCATCAACCTCTCCGACTGAGCATCCCACCGGAGTAACCTCTATTGCTGCCGGAAAATCTGACCCGGCCATTTGGTATGTGCGTGAAGACGGGGTAGTTGCTGCGAGGCCAAACCCTATGACCATGGGGCACATTACCGGAACTCCTTTGACCGAGATATCGCCGACGGGCCCACCTACAGCTACCCCAGGCGCAGCCGGGGCCCTCCCGGGCACCTCCACAGGGCAGCTTTCTTTTCGGGAGGCCATTATGGGGAAAAGAGATGGTGGCATGGGAACCTCCAGATCCTCCGATCCCACACCCAAAGATTTTGCTTTTTACGGGGGATACGAACATGCTTGCGGGACCATTATCCGCTCGGAGGGGAACAAAGTGAAGGCCCACTACACCGAAGCCGAATCTGTTGCCCTTGCAGGTAAATTAGCTAACACCCTGGTTTTTAAGTTCTCATATGCTATCCCTGCACCTCGAGATATATCTGCTGGATTAAGCAAATTGGGTTTTAAGGGTAGAGTTTCATCTAAGTGGTATAACTTCAACCACCTTTTAGTGTCTTTCTTCCTTCCCGAGGACTATAACGAGGTCTGGCTTAAGACCTCCATTCATGTGTGTGGATGCCCAGCTAGGGTGTTCAAATACTATGCCGGGTTTAACCCGAAGACGGAGGCGCCGGTTGTCCCCGTGTGGTGCCGCCTTCCCGGCCTACCACCTCATCTTTATGATCGCGCTGCCATCACTACACTAGCTAAGTGTATTGGGCAACCGATTCGTATTGACGCCCCAACAGCCCTCCAGACGAGGGCTAACGTGGCGCGTTTTTGCGTCGAGATAGATCTGAGAGCTGAGCTTGTTCATGAGATTGAGATTGAACAGGGCTCGGAGTCTCTGGTTCAGCGGGTGATCTATGAGAAGATCCCCGCGTTCTGCACCTCGTGCAGCCATGTGGGTCATGTTGCGGCTGATTGCTACATCAGTGGCAATAAGCCACGGCCCGCTATCCCGCAGCGCCACCGAGCGACTCAGCGGGGTCTCTCCACCAGCCGGAGGGACTCGAAGGGAAAGGGCAAAAGCCCTCTCCGCGAGCCCGAGACCCCGAAGGGGTCTAAGGATAAGGGCAAGGCTGTGATTGTTGATACTGCCCAAACTGGGAAGGATGCTCATCCTACCCAGCCTAAGCAGTTGGCTTTAGTGGGTCCCAAGCCCAAGTCCACGGGCTTTCTCCCTAGACACACCCTACAGACGGCCTTCAAGGCCAACCATTCTTACTTTGCTATTCTTTCCCCTGAGGCAGAGAAGGAGTCTGTTCCTTCCTCCAGCAGGCCTCCTAAGATTACTGATCTTACACTTCTGGATGACGATGACCTCCTTGGAGACGACATGGATCAGTCGGACGGCACGACCAGGAGAGAGTCCATCCATCTATCCGATGATAATGCACGCGATGCCGGTCCTTCGACCGAGCGCGCACCTAGCCCGGTCCGATCTTCGGAATTGAGGGCTACCGCCGCCACCGCTCCCCCAAAAGGGGATGAGTCGGCCCATCCTCCCCCTGCTGAGACTCGGAGCTCGGTCGAGCTGATAGTCAGTTCCCACCCCCCTCCCACCGGCGAGCACCCAAGTGCTCTGCCTGTTGGACCCCCTCTTTCACCCATCCCCGAGCAGATATGCGAGCTCAACCACGCGCAGCATGACGTCTCGTGCGAGAGTTTCGCCTCTACTGCTTTTCGTCACCTTGACAGACGGGAGACAGCCCCGGAAATAGGGCAACCCGCTAGTGCTGCGATAGGCCAGTCTGCCCAGCCAGACGACTCACAGGCCACGAGTACATACCGAGGCAGACAGACCTCGAGGACCAGAGCTACGCAGCACACGAGACGGCGGACGATCTCCCCAGCTATTGGACCCTTCCGCCGCACGACACGACGAACGACCTCCCATTCTTTAGGTGGCCCGAATCAGCCTCGCCATAGGCGGACTAGGTCCGGTGGCTCTTGCGACCGTTGATATGTCCATCACATCCATTACTTGGAATGGCCGTGGCCTGGCGAACAGGGCTACTCTTTCTCACCTTCACTCTCTTATCCGTGACCACAGAGTCGATTTTGTTGGCTTCATTGAGCCGATGATTCGTACTCCTTCTTTTGACCACTACTCGCGTCGTCTGGGTTTCCACTCGGGCGTGGGTAATATTTCGCACAAGATCTACTTCTTCCACTCGCGTGATTACACTTGTCGGGTCCTCCGCGACACCGATCAGGTGCTTCACTTAGAGATTTCCGCTGCCCACCTCCCGGAGCCCATCTTTTACACCTTGGTTTATGCCAAGTGTACTAGGGTCGGGCGATATGATCTTTGGGACACCCTGCGTGAGATTGCCGAGAGTATGGAGGGATTGCCATGGATGGTTAGTGGCGATTTCAACATCTTTCTGCATCCCGATGAGCGCGTGGGTGGCCGCACGGACAGATCCCGAGAGATGTGGGATTTTGCGCAGACTGTGGCGGACTGTGAGTTGCTTGATGCTGGATGCGAGGGTGAGCCCTTCACGTGGGTTAGGGACGACCTCAAGGAGAGGCTCGATCGTGCTTTGATTTCTGAAGCGTGGTCGAAGGTGTTTGCGGTCACGACCGTCACGCACCTCACTCGATTCGGGTCTGACCATTCACCCCTCCTCATTAGATGTCGTTTTTCGAGCACTCCTCGCCGCGCTTCCTTTAGGTTCCAAAACATGTGGGTTCGCCACCACTCTTTCCACGACACTGTCAGGGATTCCTGGCTTCAGCCGACTGGGCTCTTCGGGATGCGCAATCTCGAGGCGAAGCTCGGCAGACTGCGGCGTCGGTTGAGACAGTGGAACTGGGATGTTTTTGGAAACCTCCATCACCGTCTTACTGCAGCTCAGAGTGCGCATGCGTCGGCTGAGCGGGCCTATGACCTGGATCCCACTCCGGAGAATAGGACCGCCATGCACCGCTGCCACGCCGAGTACCAGCTCCGACTCCTTATGGAGGAGGACTTCTGGAAGCAGAAGGCGGCCGTTCGCTGGGTGGCCGAGGGCGAACGGAACACTAGGTTCTTCCAGGGCTACGTTAGGCAGAAGCGTGCTAAGTCGTACATCCATAGCATCGAGGCTAATGGGTCATCCTTGACCCAGGAGGCTGAGATCCGGGAGTCGGCTGTTGCTCACTTCCAGACCCTCTTCACCTCTGACAGAGGGTCCCTCGTGGCACCGAACGCCTCCTTCTTTCCCACCATCCCTCCTTCGGCCGATCTCACTGGCCTTTGTGAGCTCCCGAGCAGGGAGGAGGTTAGGGATGCTGTATTCGGGATTGATCCCAACAGCGTTTCCGGTCCGGATGGTTTCTCCTCCCTCTTCTATCAGGTCTGCTGGGATATTGTAGAGAATGACGTCCAGGAGGCGATGGTGGATTTTTTCTCAGGCCACCGGATGCCGGATTCCTTCACGTCTACCTCTATCGTCTTGATCCCCAAACGACCCAGCCCGAGCTCTTGGTCCGATTACAGGCCCATCAGCCTGTGTAACGTGACCAACAAGCTCATTTCGAAGATTCTTAACGGTCGTCTTTCCCCTCTTCTCCCCTCCCTCATCTCTCCGAACCAGAGTGGATTCGTCAAGGATCGGGTCATTAGTGATAACATCCTTCTGGCCCAGGAGATGATCCACGACATCTCCCGAGCGGACTGGAAGCGGGCTCCGAATATCGCGCTGAAGCTGGACATGGCTAAGGCGTATGATAGGGTTGAGTGGCCGTTTCTTAGGGAGGCGTTGGCTAGGATGGGATTCCCTGAGCGTTGGATCAGCTTTGTGGAGGCGTGTGTGGAGCATTGCACGTTCTCGGTCCTGATTAATGGCAGCCCCACCGATTTCTTTCCCTCCTCTAGAGGCCTTAGACAGGGCGACCCTCTTTCCCCTTCCCTCTTCGTTCTTGCGGCGGACTACCTCTCTCGCTGCCTTGACGGCTTCATCCGCGACTCTCCCCACATGACCTATAGCACCTGTGGCTATGGTCCTACCGTCTCTCACCTTTCTTACGCGGATGACATCATTATCTTCACCCGGGCGGATGATGATGGACTGGTCGAGCTCATGCGCCTTTTGGAGCACTATGGCTTGGTCACCGGTCAGCTGGTCAGCGTGCAGAAGAGCACCTTCATCCTTTCATCTGCCACAGTGGACAGGTGGGCTCAGCGGGTCCACGACATTACTGGCTTTGCGCGTGGCGACCTTCCCATTACCTACCTCGGGGTCCCTTTATATAAGGGCAACCTCACGAGAGCGCTCTTTGCGGGCGTCAGACAGAGGATGATCGACAGGATCTCTGGTTGGTCGCATAGATATCTTTCTTTCGGTGGTCGGCTAGCGCTGATCAAGAGCACTCTTAGCTCTCTTCCGATTCACTTGCTTATGGTCCTCGACCCCCCTAGGTCTACTCTTGACGAGCTTGACCAGATTATGGCTCGTTATTTCTGGGGTTATGAGGACGGGTCTGGGAGGGGGAGACGTACTCACTGGGTGAGTTGGGACTCTATCTGCCGCCCCCTCCCAGAGGGTGGCCTTGGCATCCGCCGCCTTAGGGACATTGTTACAGCTTTCTCATACAAGCTGTGGTGGCGCTTCAGGGAAGGAAAGTCGCTTTGGGCTCAGTACCTTCGCGGCAAGTACTGCCCTAGACGTGCCAACCACCCTTGTTGGGTCACGGCTGTTGATCATGATAGCAGACAGTGGCGGCGCCTCACTAGGGTCGGGAGGCAGGCCCAGGATCACATCTTTTGGGTTTTGGGTAGGGGCGATGTCAGTGTTTGGGATGAGTGGTGGGTAGGTGATAGGCCGTTGTCTAGGGATAGGCAGGTGTCGCATTCCCCCTACCTGCTCGTGAGCGACCTCTGGACGGACGGGTCGTGGGATAGGGGGAAGCTTGATAGGGAGTTGGGGGCTGGTGCGGGTTTTAGCGAGCAGTTATTAGATCAGATCCAGCAGATCCCTATCTCGGGGGACGGTTCAGATAGCATGAGGTGGAGACTTACATCATCAGGTGTGTTTTCTACTACCTCGGCTTGGGAGCAGATAAGGCTGAGGGATCGGCCTAATCTCCTTTTCGGGGCTATCTGGAGTGACCTTTTTACGCCTACTATTTCGGTATTCCTTTGGCGCCTTCTCTTGCGCCGGATACCCGTCGATACTGTGCTACACGCGAGGGGGATCTCTTTCCCATCTCGGTGTGTGTGTTGTTCTGAGACTGGACGCCATGAGATTGAGACCTTTACCCACCTTTTTCTAGAGAGTGAGATTGTGAGGAGAGTGTGGGAGCATTTTGCCACTTGGACCCATATATCCCTACCCACCACATACAGTTTTTTTGAGCTCCTGAGTTTTTTCTCACAGAGCACACACCTTAGACACGTGGGCTTCCTCATTCCTTGTCTGATCCTTTGGTTCACCTGGACAGAAAGGAATAGTGCGAAGCATAGGGATACTACTTTTATGTTTTCTCACATTGTTTTGCAGGTTGAGAGACACATTTCACTCCTCATCTCATTGGGCAGGCTCACGGCCCGAGACTGGACAGGCTGCACGCCACCGCATCGCTACATGGTGGCCACACCACCGCCTGTTCGGACTCCTCGGGCCAGAGCTGTTGTTTGGCTTCGACCTGACTCTCCGTGGGTCAAGCTGAACACTGATGGCTCCTTCGATCGCCACACTGGAGTTGCCGGAGGAGGAGGCTTGATTCGGGACCATAGCGGCGCCCTCATCACCGCCTTTCACGCGTCCATTCAGGCCTCCTCGAGCTACGACGCAGAGATTCAGGCACTACAGATTGGCCTTCAGATAGCTGCCCACATCTCTAGTCATATATGGATCGAGCTGGATGCTGCGGCTGTCGCCACCCTCCTGACTTCGGGCCATCAGGGCTCGTGGCAGATTCAGCACCCGCTCATGCGCATTAGAGATCTACTTCAGTCAGTCCATTACAGGATCACGCACATCTTCCGTGAGGGGAACAGACCGGCTGATTACCTGGCCAGCCTTGGCGCCACCATACCAGGCACACATACATTCCAGACCGACACTGCTCCACTCCGCCTTCGCACTCTTGTACGGATGGACCAGCTTGGATACCCAGCGTTCCGCTTTCACTAGTATAGGATTTCTATTTCCAGTAGTATAGACTTAGTCTCGGGCATCGGTTAGCCCGAAGATCGACTTTATTATGTAGTTTGTTGTTTCTTTTTCTTTTTTCGGTTTTGCCTTTTTTCCTTTCCTTGTTTTTGTTTTTGATTTTCAGACTATGTTGACCTCTGTATCTGGTTTGTTGACATTTTGGGCTCCCGGTCTTGGGGCCCTGATCTATGCACAGGTTGGGGATCCAGCCCAATCCCCCGCCCTTGTCTGATCCTTTGGTTCACCTGGACGGAGAGGAATAGTGCAAAGCATAGGGATATTACTTTTTTGTTTTCTCACATTGTTTTGCAGGTAGAGAGACATCTTTCACTCCTTATAGCATTGAGCAGACTCACGGCCCGAGACTGGACAGGCTGCACGCCACCACACCGCTACATGGTGGCTTCCCCACCACCTATTCGCCCCCCTCGGCCCAGAGCTGTTGTTTGGCATCGACCCGACTCTCCGTGGGTCAAGCTGAACACTGATGGCTCTTTTGATCGCCATACCGGAGCTGCCGGAGGAGGAGGCTTGATCCGGGACCACAGCGCCGCCCTCATCACTGCCTTCCATGTGCCCCTTCAGGCCTCCTCGAGCTACGACGCAGAGATTCAGGCATTACAGATTGGCCTTCAGATTATTGTCCACCTTTCTAGTCATATTAGGATCGAGCTGGACGCTGCGGCTGTCGCCATTCTCCTGACTTCGGGCCACCAGGGCTCGTGGCAGATTCAACACCCGCTTATGTGCATTAGAGCTCTACTTCGGTCTGTCCATCATAGGATCACGCACATTTTTCGTGAGGGGAACAGACCTGCTGACTACCTTGCCAGCCTTGGCGCCACCAAACCAGACCCACACACGTTTCAGACCGACACTGCTCCACTCCCCCTTCGCACGCTTGTACGGATGGACCAGCTTAAATATCCATCATTCCGCTTTCAGTAGATTAGGTTTATTGTTTTCATTTGATTAGATTTAGATTTTATTTCTGGGCACCTGTTAGCCCGAAGACAGATTTTGTATTGTTTTTCTTATTTGTTTTGCTTTTGCTTTTGCTTTTGCTTGTGAGACTCTGTAGATTGTAGACTGTTGATATTTTGGGCCCCCGTTTTGGGGTCTTGATCTATGCATAGGTTGTGGATTCAACCCAATCCCTCGCCCTTTCGGGGCGTTGTTTGTTAAAAAAAAAAAATCTAGCAACAAAAGACAACTAACTTAACAGCAAGAAAGAAATAACCTAGCAACAAAAGACAACTAACCTAGCAACTACAGACAACTAACCTAGCAACATTTTCCCTTCGGGCCATCAGGGCTCGTGGCAGATTCAGCACCCGCTTATGCGCATTAGAGATCTACTTCGTTCAGTCCATCACAGGATTACGCATATTTTTCGTGAGGGGAACAGACCTGCTGACTACCTTGCCAGCCTTGGTGCCACCATACCCGATACACATACGTTCCAGACAGACACTGCTCCACTCCGCCTTCGCACGCTTGTTCGGATGGACCAGCTTGGATATCCATCTTTCCGCTTTCAGTAGATTAGGTTTTTATTGTCATTTGATTAGATTCTCATTTTCGTTTTCATTTTAGGGCACCTGTTAGCCCGTAGACAGACTCTGTATTTTAATTTTATTTGTTTTGTTGTTTTGTTTTGTAGTTTTTGCCTCTTTTTCGTTTTTCGGCTTTTCTTTTTTGCTTTCTCTTTCGTTTTTGAGCTTGATTAGTGAGACTCTGTAGACTTTTGTATCTTGCTCTTTGATATTTTGGGCTCCCGATTTTAGGGCCCTGATCTATGCACAGGTTGGGGATCCAACCCAATCCCCCGCCCTTCCGGGGCGCTGTTTTTAAAAAAATAAAATAAAAAAAAACCTAGCAACATCAGAAAAATAACCTAGCAACAGCAAAAAACTAACCTAGCAGCAAGAAAGAAATAACCTAGCAACAAAAGACAAACGGTCAACGGTCAACACCAAAAGTCAACGGTCAACACCGGAGTCAACGGTCAATGGTCATAATAATATTTAAAAAATTAAAAATAAAGAATTAAATAATAAAAATAAAATGTTATTATTTAAATCAAGATCTAAATCTTGTGGTTAGGAATGAGTTTCACGTCCTCACTTTAAATAAGGGATGCATTGAAATCAATCCCTATATCTATATATATATATATATATTATACATATAATATAAAAAAAAATTGTATATTAATTAAAACAATTTGATCGGCTTGATAGATGATCCGATCAGTGCACCATTTAACGAATAGCTTCACCGACTCGATGGCCGGTTCGGAACCTCCAAGGAGTCAAGCAATTACACCCCATTTTTTTAGGAGCCTAAACCCCACGCTCCTCATCTTTTTTTCTCCTTTTATTTTTTTTTTATTTTTATTTTTTTTCCCTTAACGAATTTCAGGAGAAATCATAAAAATCTCCCCAGTCCTCCATTAAAAACCCACAGCCGCCGCATCAAGCATCTCTCTCGCGAGCGCCCGGGGATTGGTGCGTGTATTGTGCGTGTGCGAGCTTCAGCCGGCGAGATCGTCAGCAGCAGCGAGTCGATCACCGTCTCCATCTCCTCGCAGTACCTGAGAGCCCTTGTGAGTTCAGCCCCAAACAGCCGCAAGCCTTGCTCAAACCCATAAACCGAGGCCTTTTCCTTTGATTTTAGACCCGAGAAAGGTACATGCCCTAGCCCTTTTAGCCTTTTGTTTTGGGCTGAGATTATGTGTGAGATTATATGTGTTTTGATGTGTTTAGTTTCAGTTGTTGAGTGTTCGAGAGCATGATTGTGAAGATTTAGCCTTTTGAATCCATGTATAAGCTGTGACTTTGATTCGATTTTCCCCTGCTTATTCATGTCTGATTTTGCTGAAAATTTATAGGCTATTTCTTGTACGTGTTATGAGTTCACATGTGAAATTTCAGGCCATTATGATTTGTGAAGCATGCTGTAGAGAAATTTGATCAGAAACATGTTAGTTTGATTTAAATTGCATGTTGTAGGTGCTGTTTTGATTTGATATATCTCAGCGCGACTTCATGCTTTAAGTCTGGAAGTTTCATGGCCATTACCTGAGTATGTTATGAGCATATGTATAAGATTTCAGCCTAATAGGATGTGAATTGAATGGTATAAAAATGTTTCAGTCACAGCATGTCTAGTTGCCTTTGGTTTCGATTTTTCTCGGTCTACACTCATGCTATTAATCTGAAATTTTTATGTGTATGCCTTGTATGAGTTGTGAGTATGCCTGCCAATTTTCAGTCTCAGATGTTCAGTATAGAATTTTATAGAAATGTTTGAAGCTGATGACATTGAGAGCATGTTTTATAGGTTGTTTTAGCTTCAGTTTTGACCTGCTTATTTACATACATTTTAGCTGAGATTTTAACTGATATGTCTTGCATATGTTGGCTATAATACTGTTAAGTTTCAGACCTAAATGACTTGAGATGCATGCTGTAGGATTTTTGAAGTTTAAGAATGAAAAGGCATGTAATGATGTGTTGTTTGGCCTCAGATTTACCATGCTCAGACTCGTGCGTTTAAGCTGAAAATTTTACTGTTATTTCTTGTATGAGTTATGAGCATCCATGTGAATGTGCAGCCCTAGATGAGTTATAAAGCATTCTATAGAAAATTCTGAAGTTAAGGCATGAAAGAGCATGTTTTAGTGTGCTGTTTTGATTCGAGTTTGGCCAGCTTATAAGCATGTGATTGAGCTGAAAAATTTACTGCTATTTCTTGTATAAGATATGAGTATGCATGCAAAGTTTCAGCTTAAAAGGTTCAGAGTTGCATCCTATAGAAAATCTTGAAGGAAAGGGTGTATGTATGTGAGTTTTGATCATATTTTTATCATTATGAGAAGCCTATGTTCTGGAGGTTTATTTTTGGAGTATAATGTGAGATTTGAAGAAGCCTATTGTTTGATTCATTAATTAGTCAAAAACCGTGTAACAAAATAGTTGGAACTTTGGAACATTGTTAGGTACCTACCGCAAGTAGAGCTTTTAATCGTTCGCGTGCTACTGAGCATTATGCAGATTTTTTGCCCGGTATTTAAATGGCAGAACACTCAAGCTCGAGGTGGAATCTACGGATACCATTCACAGTGTACAGAGGGAGATTGAATCCCTGGAACGTCAGTTTTTCTGTCTTTTTTTTTTCTATTATTTACTGCAACTTGTAATAATTTCTTGTTTTCCGATTTTACATATTGTTCAGGGATCCATACGTGTGACCAAGCTTTGCTTTTCAATTGTCGGCTGCTGATTGATGGTTGCAAAACCTTAGCGGACTATGGAATTGCAAAAGGTTTTCTTTATTATTATTATTATTATTATTATTATTATTATTATTATTATTATTATTATTATTATTATTATTATTAATGCCATTTAAATGTAAATAAATCCGATTAATATAGTATATATTGGATTGATGGTGCAGATTGTACTATAGATTTGGTGCTGAGGCTCCCATCAAGATTTGTATCATCCAGTGAGTATTGGGAACTGCTTAAGAAGGTGGAAAGTCTTGAAGAGAGGGTGAAGTTGGCGAGGCAGAGAGAAAGCCGTACGGCAAAGTTATTAGAAGCAGAACGTGCTGCACACTCTCGCCTGCAATCTAAAGTAGATCTCATGGCTCAGATGTTCGATGCCATGCGTCGCCCTCAGTGACGCTTTCACTATTCTCAACTTTGCAATATTAATAACTTCTCTTTGTTTCGGTTTGTCTGATTATTAATATTACAAATTCAAAGTTTCTATGGATATATTGGAGCTTGTTGATGGATTAATTGATCTTTGTCCTTTCCTGCTATTTGCATTAGCCATATCGAAATTCCAGTGTTTTCTTTACCATGTGTGTAAGGTTTTGTGTAACCAAGTGTTTCAAATTAATTTTTAAGTTCCCTTGTATTTTGTCAGATTTTAGAGATGAATGTCCTCTGATTTGTGTAACTTTCATGTGTGCCAGCCGGTTCAATGGTTCATATATTCTGGCATTTGTAAGATTTGTGTAGAATGTTGTGTTAAGCATGTACATTGTTTGTAATGTCGTTGTACTCGATTGAACTGGATTGTTTGTGGATAATTCATTGGGCATATGATATGAGAGAACCATATTTTGCAATTGGGTGTTGCCAACTTTCATTAGGCATATGAGAGAACAATATTTTGCAAGTTCATTTACATATGAAGACCATTATTAATTTCTAATATTTGGATTATATACTGCACAAAACATGCAAACCAACATGGATTATGTACATGAGTTTACCAAAACATGTTTTACGTGCTGTTAGTTATAATACGCACGAGCAAAATAAGGTTGTAGCTGCAGAATATGTCTCATGCATGACCATTTGTGATCCAGTTTGCTCTTTCCTATCAGTCACAAAAATATATACATAAAGAGAGTTAAATTATCGGCATAAAAAAATATCCCCAAGTTATAATTAAAATCATCTTCAGTGTTGTATGTATGTACTCGGTACAAAAAATTATGCAGTGTAACATTTTTGTCAGGTTCTTCATCTGCAAATACCATAAACTGCATAAGATTCATTCACCGTCTAGCAAAGAGCAAATTATTAGAAGCACACTAAATATAGCTACAAACCTATTTCATATCCCCTTCATAATCACTGGTGGTGAAATTGATATCAGCATCAACCCCACGAAACTTGATTGCTTGTAATTGCATTTATAGAGTGAACATTTGGCGGCATTTTTTTTTTCTTCTGATATGGTACTTGATATCTTTTAGATGCAATCACTATCATTTCATAATGTAAAGAAAAATATCCGTTCAACCATCTAGAGTTCTTTATCATATATTAGATCTATACAAAAAATTCATCCCCCTCATCCTATTGTATTATCATGAGAACATTTCATTTAAAAATCAACATAATATAGTCATGTGGATATACTGCCAAAGTGGCCTCCGTCATTTACGTCTCAACCGGGAAAAGCTTATTATATTTTGGTTAAAATAAAGTAAGATGGGTTATATGTTACATGCAAAGGTGTAAGGTAATTTATATGTTACATGCATGAGTGTAATTGAGTTACACAATGCATGAATTTAAGATCAGTTTTATTACATTGCATGTAATGAGATGAGTTTCACAAATATTAAACCTTATTGGTTTAATTAATCTTGGATTAATTAAACATAAGTTTCATCTCAAGTTTAATGGTGTTCCATTAAAGAAGATGAGTTGTGAACAATGAAGAATCCTCTTACACTTGTAATCACACATGGCAAATGCACCTATATATACACTTCTCTTCTTTGTGAAATCTTATGAAGAAAAGTGAGAAGGCTTGATCAATCCCAAAACCCATTTCCATTTTGTGTGTTCCCTACAGATTTCTAAGAGATGGAGGAAATAGAGTTTTTGGATAAAGTTCAAATTAACTTGTTTGAACCTTGTGTTATATATTATTGTTCTTGAGAGAAATATTGAATAATATAATTTGCGTGTTTTGAGTGTCTCTTTCTTTATTGTTATCTATTATTTCCAACAAAGCTGCAGCTCATTCCGCCCTCCTACCCTCCGCCTACTTCCAAACAGAATCATCAAAATACCAAAACAGAACATAACCTAACCCGTACCATCCATCTACCTTAAGAACGGACAGAACTATGTAGAACAAACTAAA